ACTGGTAAGAGTGACATAACTTTTCTTTTATTTATTTCATACCTTGTTAATGACTCCCTTTCATTTACAGAGTATATTTAATTAGATAAGGTACGATGGGGTTGACGTATCCATACGGATAAAAACCCCCTAAAACAATAAAATTAAGGAGATTAAAAAAAAAGACTTTTAGAAGGAATTCGGTAGAAGTGTTCTAATATAATACCACAGACATTTGTGTGTTATATTGCGAGTTATACTTAGTAATGGACTTCGTGATTGGATGAGTATGTGTGTGACTGACGAGCAAGAGGTTTTGAGTTAGTTTTTCGAGTGGAGGAAAATAAACTCTATTCCTTCGGAAGAAAAGACAATACTCTAACGCCAGATCTCTAAATATTTTAATTCCTAACCCTCAAAAGACCGGCAACGCATTTGTAGCTTCTCCTGTGTTCCAAATGTCTATGTGTGGCGACCAATTACTAAACACCACTACTGCTTTACTGACAGATCGACTGAAGGACAAATAAATTTAGACGTTACAGAAGTGTATAATTAACATTTTTTATGTAATATAAGCCGGTAAACGAGCAGACGGATCATGCATGCAGCGAGCATGGGCGACGCTGATTGCTTGCAATCATGGAACAGCAGAAACGTTATAAGTGCATTACCGGCCTTTTGGGGATTACAAATTTGAAGATTGAAGACATTGGGAAAAGGGGAGAATTACACAAGGTCGCTTCCCGGTAGTGATACTCGTTTTATAGTGGATATCCATAAAACTGTTTATAGGGAGACCCGACAATGTTTAGAAACTATAAAAGGTCTATTTAAGTTGTTCAGACAATGCAGGTTGACGGTAGACTGAACGTCAAGTGGTGTTCAAGACAAAAACCACTTCAAAGTTTTCGAGAGATAGCTTTGGTCCAAATTTTGGCACTTACCGATGCATGGATGGCGTTGAGAATAGCCATGGAGTATTTTGCACGTCTGTTTGTATGGGAATCTTTGATACAGTATATCTAGCTTTACCTAAATGCCGATATATAAATGCTTTGAATTTGAACAACCTTCTTACTTTATAATGTCTGTGAACTTGACAACATCTCGACATCTTGAAAATCATTTGAGTCTTGACCATTAAAGGGCTCTTAATTACAATAGAGTAAATAATTAAGATAAAAAGGAAAAAGCACTTTAAAATACACCGGTATCTACCTATTCCCTGGAATTAAAAACCTGACACTATTACTATCAAGTAATAGCACCAAATCGCTACCGCTACGTCTCAAAACTCACATCCAACCACGCCAATCAAAACCTCTAAGCTAACGAGTGGTTCGCTCCAATCTTCGATAGCCATTGTCTAACTCGAGCGCTCCGTTTACATAATAAAGTAACGCGCTTTGTTTTAGCTTGTGCGCAATTTTTTTGGTCGAACTGTTGATGATCTGCAAACAAATTTTGTTTGTGTATGATTTATTAGTTTTTGTGGGATATTCTGGGTAAATGTTTTGATTTGTATCGATAAAAAATATTAGGTTATGATCGGTGAACTGGCATGGGTTTACAGTGTACAAATAGCCGTATACCGCGAATAATTTTAGTTTTCATAGTATCCTATCCTATTTTCTACATAACATCATAACATTACATCACGCCTTTTAGGTGCACATTATACCACTGTACAATGTAACACCCACTTTTCACTATTTATGTTATGAGTCCCATGTAATAGGGGGTGAGCCTATTGCCATATACCGGGCACAATTCCAGACTCCGTGCTACTACTGAGATTTTTTTAAAAACCCAGTAATACTTTGCCCGACCCGGAAACCGAACCCGAGACCCCTCGCCTGGCAGTTGCAGTTGCAGTTGCGACCACTCGGATAATATTAGTAGAAAATAAACGAGGCAGTTTATTTTCTACTAATATTATAAATGCGAAAGTTTGTGAGGATGTATGTACATGTACATGTGTGTGTGTCTATTTGTTACTCTTTCACGCAAAAACTACTGATCGGACATAGATGTGAATTTGGAATAGAGGTTATGCTCTATAACACATAGGCTACTTTTTATCCGACGCTGATGGGAACACCGACGGAGCCGCGCGCAGAAGCTATGTAGTTACCAATAAAACCAAATACACAATTCCAACCATTGCAGTTAATGAGAATACTAAAAATAAATTGTACGCCCTATATAATTTGGTTAATCTAGTCTAGATATTTAATACAATAACGACTAGCATGACAATAATGTTCGGAGCTGCAAATAATCTAACGGGTTACCGGGGTTTCGGCTCAAAATATGAGTAGGAACGGAGTGGTTTTTAGTTAGTAAGAGTCTGACACTCCCCCCTTAAAAAACGATGAAAATAATTGTATTGTATGTGCTCACGATGTAATAAGGAACCAACAAAAGAAACTACGAAGTATTCGTTATTATAGACGATTACTACGAAGTGCCAATGTCCCATAATATGAGGGCAAGTAACAACCTTGATTGTTAAATAACTAACACCAGCACATAAACCTATACCAAACTAGCCAAAAGATATCAGACTTTATTACAGAAGAACAGAGCTGCAAATCTTTTAAAGTAACTCACGCCTTCAGGGAAATATTATGATAAAGTTTCGAATGATTGTTCTTGAAGGCTATCTACATGATATCGTTGTCAAACACTCCGTCTTCGTATTAGTCAAACTATACTCCAGAGGCTTTGTTATTTGTACCTCTGTAGCTTATCATAATAATTACTGACGTTTGATATTCGATATTGCTATACCAACTTGGTATTAATATGGCGGCTTTTGTGATCTCCATTTCGGCGTGTTGATCGTCGAATACCTAGAAAATAATATAATGTTTATTTGGTTTCACAGCAAAATTTGTAAGGATAAAAAGAGAATACGTTTTTACATTATAAAATTCTCAGAATAGTATTTTTAGTATGACTAAGGGTCGATTTTTCAATCATCGGTTATATCATAATTCTTAAATGTAGAACAAAATTGACATTTGATAGTTTCTAGTATGGGAGAATTGTCAATTAACGGATGTTTTTATAATAACTATCGTGAGACATACTAAATTAAGTAAAACCGCGGGTTACTCACGTGAATGTACTCACTACAGTACACTGGGCACTGGTGGAACAGGAACTCCTCTGTGGTTCGAGGCTAGTAGAGCTTTTCTCAGTATATTCACGTGAGTAACCCGCGGTTTTACTTAATTAACGGATGATTGAAAAATTGGTCCTAAGAATTAACTCTATTATATAATATTTTACTGAAGTTCGCCACACGTTACACGATTGATTTGGCATATGAGATCCATTCATCCATCCAGAAGCAGTAGACTATCTCTCTAAACAGTAGGCTTTAGATGCTGATGTGGACTGAATGAAATAATGAAAACCTTCTTTGTAAGTACGAGTCTTTAGAGCCGCGAAGGACGTAAAAAGTTACCGGGGCTCCGCCTCGAACTGCAGGAGTAGAAACGGGGTGGTTTTTAGTCAGTACGTGTCCGACATTCTCTCCCGCCTCACCCAGGAGAAGTGATTCGATGATTTTCCCTTCTTAAAAAAAATTACGAATAGTTTCTAATACTAAGGGCCTGCATCACCTATCTTCAAATTACTACCTGATAACTTCTTTATTGGGACAAGCCCCCCACAACCTCCCAAAACCGCTGCATCTCCAGTAAGATAGGACCTACAATCATGAGAACGCTGGAACATTGAACAGTGCAGCCCTGGAACATGAATAACTGTTTTGAATCCCGCAATGAAATAAATATTCTTAGAGGAGAAGAAAAATAACGATAATAGGGTAGATGCCTAATTTTTATCTTAATGTCCGTCTGGTGGATTGTTTTAAACCACTAGACAAGTATTTTTTATTTTCTTACAAAAACGAATACTTTCGACGATATATTGATTTGAAATGTCGCGTGACGTCCCTTCTATATACATTTTATACGTAGAAATGACATTTTAGCTCCCACTCCTAAACTCTGATTCGTTTTACCTAAGTATTGTTTTATTATACGACAAAATAAAAAAATGCTTGTCTAATATTTTTTTCATTACCTAACTTACGGACAAATTATATTTTTATTTTTCATACCCTGTCATTATCCGATTTGTACTCGATAAACTTAAGCGACAGATAGTCCACACAAATTACGTCCTTAGATCTGGTACATAGCTGCTATCCAGATATTTTAACACAGAGCCTTGATGGTTATCATTATTTTATAACACATTTCACATTTAATAAATGATTAGTCACTCAAAAAATATGATTCAATTTATAAATATCGCTTACGATTTGTAAAACCAAATGATTCGGTTTTTGCTTTTTTAGAATAAAATATAGCGTATTTACTACGCTTCATTGCGCTGAGCTAAAATGTCAATTCAACATTTCAAAATGAATTACCTATTATAAAACCAACTTAATAATGCAGTTAGTCGTGTTTCTAGATTCATTAAATATATTTTTTTATTCTTCTTTTCTACATTCGCGTCAAGTGAAACTAGTGAATTTATTTCTGCAAATAGGCTACAAAGCAGCACTTTTACACGTAAATTTTATCAAGCGAACGATGAGGTCGACATTTCCTAACTGACTACTCTGAGAAGAAATGTAGAAACAAACTCAGAGGTCCGTCTCTTTTAAAGTCCAGAAGAGTCATCGTTATTCAGAATATAAAAGGTCTAAGAATATTCATTCATTCCTTCGTAGCTTACCGTCTTCCTCGTTTTTCTCCAAAGTTATACAGAACATTAAAATAGATTTACTTTAATAAATATTAGCTTGAAGTCAATTTGTAATAAATTAATGTTCTTGATGTAATTTGTCACTTATCCTTGTTGATCTGATGATGACATTCTGATGACGATCTCTGTGTCCTTTCACAAGATTTGACTATTATCGAACAACAAAATGATTTCGTAATTGTAAATTAAAATACCTGTTTTTTATTCATACCCCCTATTATATTATATTATATGACTGTACAATTGGTGCGGTGTTTGGGCAACTGGCTACCGTACAACGTGTTGCGGGTTCGATTCCCAAGCGGAACAACAGTTTGTGTGATCCACAGATTGTTGTTCCGGGTCTGCGTGTCATGTGTATGTGAATTTGTGTGTTTGTAAACGCACCCACGACACAGGAGAAAATCTTAGTGTGCGGCAATTAAAAAAAATATTACATAGGACTCATAACATAAATAGTGAAAAGTGAGTGTTATATTGTACAGTGGCATTAAGTACCCTAATATTCCTACCTCTTCGGGGCTAAAAAAGCGTGACATAAGGTCACGCTTTTTATTTTTTGGTCACTTCTGAAATCACACCCAAAACTGTGTTTAGCAATTTATTAGTACTATCGATTAGTGTTACCCTTATTTAGCTTCAGTACTACAAATTTTTCCACCCGCATAGACAAGTTGGTCGCTCTACTATTAAAAGCAAATGCACTTAAGCTGTCATAAACACTGTAATTGTGCCATAAATGTACCCTATTATACCCACATAATTTAAAAAAGAAAGGTATAAAGGTACTATGAACGTATAATTTTTACTGCTACCAAAGAACATTAATGACCCGTATCTGATTCAAAATGCTACCTAACGCTTTCAAAGTGTGTATTACTCTATATAATATTCATGAGGTAATGAAATAGCCCGCATTATGAATTATGAAGTTTTAAGTACAGTCATTCTGCCTAGACTGCTTAGTGCTTTGTGACTGGTGATAAAATTTGGTAGCAAAGGGCTAGTGCGAAAAGTAAAATATCATCAACATCACCAACAGTCTATAATAAGTAGCCTCTTCTCGCACGGAGAAGGTTTAAGCAATAATCACCACGCAATGCGGGTTGGCGATTTCAAACTTCCCGGGAATCGAACCCGAGACCCCTTGCCCGGCAGTCGCACTTGCGACCACTCGGCCAACGAGGCCGTCCTGTCATTACAATGATCCAACATTAATATAATTTGAACATAACAATATGTTTTGAATTGAATGTCGTGGTAGCCTTTCTCATGCATGAGGGTGCGGGTTCGAAACCCACCAACGGCGAGTACCAATGTTACGTTTTCCGAGTTATATGTACTTTCTAAGATTATTCAGACGCCACTGACAACCGGTGAAGAAAAACGCCGTGAGGAAACCTGGGCTTATAATTTCTAATTGTAAGTTTGAAATTGCCAACCGGCATTGAGCAAGCGTGGTGATTACTGCTCAAACATTCTCCGTGTGGGAAGAGGCTTTGCTCAGCAGTGAGCATTTATAGGCTGTTGATGTGATGTGAAACGACCAAAATATTGCGGCTAAATAAAAATTCTTAGGATATACAGAGTCTATAATAACAAACAAAAAGTCTAAACTAAAAAGCAAAAAATAACTATTATTAGTACTGATAGGTTACCCACCCACTGATAGGTTAGAAGTCGGTGCCATAAGTTCCATACAAAATTATTCATTAAAACCTTAATAGGTACCTAATTCACAATTTTGTGATATATCATTATGATATGAGCTTATGGCACCGACTTCTAACCTATCAGTGGGTGGGTAACCTATCAGTACTAATAATAGTTATTTTTTGCTTTTTAGTTTAGACTTTTTGTTTGTTATTAGTTTTTGGTTTTTTGAAGTCGGTTTTTTAAACGCAGTTTTTATTTTATTATTTTATCATTTTCAGTGTAAAGCTACATATACCCGTTTTGTACTTATAAATCTACATAGGTGCAAAGTTCTAATCAATACAAATTATACAAGCCTAAACACAAGGTAGTTACAGTATACCGTTGAGGAGTTCCCTTAACAATTACACTTCTTCATCATCAGACCCTTAATGACAGCCGTACTCTATCTAGGTGTAAAGTCCTCATCAATACAAATTAATCAAGCCCAAACACAAGGTAGTTAGTATAAACCGCTGAGAAGTTCCCTCGACTGTCTATCGGCTCCATCATCAGGTCGACTCCAGACCCTTATCAAATTGTAGTGTTTAAAAATCCTAATTGAAAAACATAATAGACGCATCACTCGCCCATATAATTTTCGAAAGTTCCCCTCGGTTTCCCTAGGATCCCATCATCAGATCCTGACCTTATGAAAATGGGACCATCTTGGGAGTATACCCTTTCCAACAAAATAAAAATTTTGCAAATCGCTTCACGCATCTGAGAGATATGCGCGTACATATATACAAAAAAAAAAAGCAACATACCGGCCGAACGTATAACCTCCTCCTTTTTTGAAGTCGGTTAAAAATAGTCTGAATTAGGTTTAATAGAAAAAAGTGTGTTTTTCAATTTTATAAGTTTTTTTAGCATTTCCATTAATTTAAATATTAAGCTGTGTTTTAGTTGCTTATACAACTAAAACCACAAATACTTCGTCCCCCAGATTCAAAGTTCAGATAGATACATTATCCAAAGTTTGAGTTCTACTAGCAAAGTCCTGCGGTGTACCGAAGCTGCCAGTAGTTCGTGATTTCTTATCTTGAAATCGAAAGGAGACAACATCACGTTCTTCTAGAGGTAGATTCTAGAATATACCTATTCATAGAAAAGTAAATACTAGAATATATTGTACGATTTTATTTTGTTTTTTTTTATAGTGTTTTATTTTATTTTGGTCAAATGTCGAGCAAAAGGTTTTCTTAATCTGAGTTTTAGGTCGGGTGATGTATAATAAGATTGATTGATTTTATTGAACATCCTTTTGTTTAAACGGGTCCGGGAATTGTATTTAGTGTAATATGTCAGTAGGTATATCCTCGATCACAACGTCACGGATGAAAAGTGGGTGTTTCATTGCACATTTACACTTTTATCCCTTTCAGCGATTATAAGTTAAAGAATCAGAGAGTTAAGTTTTCTAAGAAAAGAAGGATTCTTCGACCAGGCAAGGTGATGGTGCTTGGCGGGTTTTCTGGCCAACAGTTGTTCGTTGGGATTTTCTATCTATGTTTATTGCCATGTACGATGTAGGATTTGTGTCGATGGAACGTCAATGTACGTCGCCACAAAAGATAAATATGTTCAACTCAGTAACTCTTCAGAAAAAGTATTTAAACAACGCAGATGTCCCATTACATCTCCATATACACCATTACCATTATCCTTACTTAACTCACTGTTATACCCACTTAACTATTCATGTTTCCATCATTAAATAATTCTGCGTTCGGCTCACTCAAAAAGTTTTTATAGACAAACTTGCAATCCTCAATTTTGAATGCATTTTACGACATCTGCCAACTTTCGAATGGGCCGTAAAATGTTTACCTGCATTCACGGTCCCAACGGAGACACGAGTCAACTTGAAAAATAATCTGGATCAAATAAAACGGATTTTATAAAAATGGATTACTGTTTACTAAATGGTTATTAAGTCTTCGTTGTCTTTTTTAAAGAAAGGTTGCGTGTTTGTACGTTATAATTAAGCAATTAGGGAAATAAGTGGATAGAAATTGGTAGTTGTATTAGTTTAAAGGGGTGAGCCTTCTATCAAAACATTGCACATATTTTGATACTCCAAAAAGCTTTACTGTACATTAATAAAAAGGAAAGACGTCAACATATTCTTTTCTTAACTCAATTTTCGAATGTACACGTAGGCGTACCGTTTTTAATCAGTTGAATATCAATGGTTGCTTATTTACAATGTATGTCACACAAACAAAGACACTACTCGAAATCATACCAAATATAAATTCCAAATCGCACTACGCAAAATCCAAAGCCTTGTTATCGCAACAAACCAGAATTTAGTAGAAAAATTCCTTTGTACTTCATCCCACTTTGTTTGTTGTGTAAACAAATAATAAATCACTGGAAATCTCCATTCCAAGTAATGGCTTTACTTTGATTGAATTATAGGAGAATCCTGTTGTTACTATATCTAATATTGACAAGGAAATGAAAGTCGAAAAGCTCATCATAACGTTTATAAACAAACAGGTATGAAATAAGCCAACAATCGGACAATACCTGGCGTAGAATCACGAAATAGGGCCATTTGTAATAATCAACACATTTCTATTCGAAGGGACGCCCAATTCGACGGGGGAGTGGAAGTGCGAAGAGAGTGAATACGGCATTCGATGTTCGAGATTTGGAATTCTCGGAATGCCGGAAAACGTTCCAAGAATCTATTAATCAACTGATGGATTTTTCGGGAGATAGTTGCTTTCGCGTTGTGGGGGAGTTTTTAAGATTCGAAAATTTCTGAATTCGTTTCGGTGACGAGGTTTTTATTACGGTTTGTGATGGGAATGCTTTTGATCAGGACGGTTGGAACGAATTTTTGACGTCTACGTTTTCGAATAAAATTCTATAGAAATTCACGACAATACTTCCCACGTATTTTCATCAAAGGCGTGACGAAATATACGATATACCGAACCTCTGTTAGTACACCTATTGACACTGATGTTCGAATTAATATTAATCAAGGCAATCTCGAATAAAATATACAGGCAATTTTTCTGTTTCAAAATATGACTAATCCATTTATCAAAATTCTCAAATCCATTCACGTTACCCCAGATTCAAGTTTTTATTCAATCAAAACATAATATTTTTCATGATCAAAAATAAAACTTATTCATATAATAGGGATGATGACAGGGTATGAAAATTAAAAATACAATTAGTTCGTAAGTTAGGTAATGAAAAAATATAAGACACGTATTTTGTATTTTTTCGTATAATAAAACAATACTTAGATAAAACGCATCAAAGTTTAGGAGTGGGGGCTACAACGCCATTTATATGTACGTATAAAATGTACATAAAAGTGACGTCACGCGACATTTGAAATCAATACCTAGAGGAATTGATTTCAAATTTCGCGCAATATATCGTCAAAAGTATTCGTTTCTGTAAAAAATAAAAAATACGTGTCTAATGATTTAAAATAATCTACCAGATGGACATTAAAATAAAAATTAGGCATGTACCCTATTCAATTAGATTCATTTTAAACATATTAGCTACTAAATAACAGAACACCTTAATTGCACACCAAAATACTTCCTAAGCTTTCTAAGTTGGCATTTCTATTCTATGTACCAATTGTTCCTTAGAATTGGTTTTTTTTAAGGGGGGAAAATCATCGGATGACTGCTCCCGCCTGGGTGAGCCGGAAGGGAGTATCAGACTAAAAACCACCCCGTTTCTTCTCCTGCACGTCGAGCCGGAGCCTCGGTTAACCGTTAGATTCTCCGCGACTCCGAATGTCCTTAGAATTGATTACGAGTAGGTCGAATTAGCTACAATACGTAAACACGGGATCTTCCAAAAAGTAATAATAGTCCAAGATCGCAGAGCCAGCCAACGTAACTTATGTACCTCTATATTGTGATGGACAAAACATATTATATAGGTTAGTATTAGTTATTTTTTTAATTAAAAAGGTTAGTATCGGTGTGTACAGTGGACTTATACATACCTACTGTCGCGGAGAACCTAACGGGTAACCGGGGCTCCGGCTCGACGTGCAGGAGAAGGAACGGGGTGGTTTTTAGTCAGTAAGAGTCTGACACTCCCTTCCGCCTCACCCAGGCGGGAGCAGTCGAGAGACGCTACGGCGTCCTCACCTACCGCCTGACGCAGGTGCTTACCGGACACGGAAGTTTCGGTAGGTTCCTGTTTCGGATTGGGCGGGAGGAAACGCCCGGGTGTCATCACTGCGAGGATCGCCCGGAGGACACGGTGGAACATACGGTGGCGGTGTGTCCTGCGTGGACTGAGCACCGCCGCGTCCGGCTCTGGTTCAGACCATGGTACGGAGCGAGGGGGACTGGGATGCCGTCTCCTCCTTCTGCGAAGCAGTCATGCTAGCTAAGGAGGAGGCGGAGCGCGTGAGGGAACGAACCTCCTCACGACCCGGCCGTCGCGAGAGACACTCCGGGCGTCGGGGATCGCGAGACGATCTCCGGCCACCGTAAGCACGGGTCTGCGGACGGCGAGCATGGGTGACTCGCCGCCCGACCAGAACCAGGCCCGTGCGTACGGCGCGTCGCGTTCCGCGCGCGCCTCAAGGAGCCATCAGACCACCACAGATGGGGCCTAACAAGGCTGATGCCGATACGGAGCCGCGGAAGACTTAACGGGTTGCCGGGGCTCCGGTTCGAAGTGCAGGTGTAGGAACGGGGTGGTTTTTAGTCAGTAAGAGTCTGACACTCCCTCCCGCCTCACCCAGGCGGGAGAAGTCATTGGATGATTTTCCCCCCTAAAAAAAAAAAAAAAAAAGGCGGGAGCAGTCATTCGATGACTTTCACCCCTTAAAAAAAAATACATACCTACTAACTTAGACCAAGCGACGGTCAATTCTCATCTATGGTGCTGACTTATCGGGTTAATGGGGCTGTGTATCAAAGCAGGAGTAGGAACGGGGTGGTTTTAGTCGATAAGAGTCTCTCTCTCACTCTCTCTCACTCTCTCATACACACACACACATACACACACAAACATCCTTGACGATTTTTCTCTGTAAAAGTTATGTATCAGCAATGTATTTCCTAACACTAAGATATTATAATTATGTCTTGTCCGTCAGAATGCAAGTAAGGACTGGGAGCTCTGAGATCTTGCTCTAACACGATGTTTGTGCAATTTTTTTCCAAAGTATTTACTGGGTATTGATGTATGATCAATGCTGAGAATATTTTCATCTGGTTGGAATATTTTTGATAAGATATGTTGCTATGGTATCTTGTAGATACGTTTTGATTTCGAAAATTTGGTATTTGTTCGTCCGTTTTTTTTTTGTCTAGGACGAACTTGTTTGTATTTTTAGGCTTGAACGACTAATAATTATGTACCGTAGAGGGCAGATGCGCCTGATCATTTTAAATTATATTGCTTGAGTGTGAATAAAGGTTATAAATAATAAAGGTTTCAACTAATAGAAAAGTGATAACTTTAAAGTTTGCCGACACAATCTGTGTAATCCCTTATTCAATGGTGCTTACGATGCTGTTCGGTACATGCGCTGGCGCCAGCCTAGTCAAATCAAGGTCATGGGGCGAGGCTAGAGAGCGGATCTCATCAGGTGCAAGCAAACATTAACTTAGAAGTGAAGAAGAAAGAAACAAACAAAGAAAAATAATTTATTCGTCATTAGGCAAGACCCACCAAATGTACAATAAGTGGTCAGGTGGATGTGCCCCTTATTGTACCCATATTATGATAGTTTCTACAAAATAAAATTAATGACAGTAGGTAATTATGGGGATAATGTACCCAATTATGAGATTATATACCTTTTCTTTTTTATAAAGAAGACATGCTCGTGTCTGGAGTAATTAGACATGCTTTAAATAATTAAAAACTTCAAGCCTTGAAGTGACTGAAATGTCAATATCCTTGGTAGGGTTATTGATTCTTAAAAAGGTAATTGGTAATTTGGAACATGGGTAGATTATGGTATGAAATTACACATAATCTATTTTTATTCCACGCGACCGCGAGCGAAGCAACTGGCATTGGCTAATAAAGTATATAACCAAGAATATTGTACTATATAATTACGTAAAAAATATTATTAGGTCTGTTCACGATTTAATAAAAAAATGAACTTCATCACCTGAATTGATGTCGTAAAATGTTTTTGACATAAATAATATTTGGTCAGACGAAACAAGGGTTGAAAACAACCAAGTAAAGTCGGGTGGCATAGCTCAGTAATATTTTTAATAGATTCATGAATTTCAGACGCAGATAATTTTATTTGCTGTCCGCTTTATATTGGATCAACTTGTTATTGGGGAATTTGAGTGAGTCCGATATTAATGTGAAGTTATAACTGAGTGTCTGTTTCACTACGATGATTTCACTCAATTATTTCGAAAAATGTACTCTGTATTTGTAAATTTAAGTTCGATTTTTGCTTATTTCGAATTGAAAGTGGAAATTCTTTTGTTTGTATGATACCCGCAGTTTGTTAAAACTACTACAACTAGAAGTTATCGTCTATTTTATTGATGTTATTTATTTAATTTGTTTTATGCGAAATTTTTTAAGATACAGAGTTCGTCAAAAAACCATACGTGGTTTACAAGACTGAACACAAACCCAAAAGTGTGAGAATATGGGACAGTAATGCTTCGGCACGAATGGAACGGGCTCGACTGGAGTAGTATCACGGCCTCACAGAAAACTGACATAAAGCATCGCTTGTGTTGTGTTTTATCATGTGAGTCAAGTTTCCGGAAGCCCAATTACCCCTACCTCCCCTATACCTAATCCCCGAATCCCCCACAATCCTGAAGTTCCTTGTTCCCAAAAAGCCGGTAACGCACTTGTAACGCCTCTGGCGATTCAGGTGTCCATGGGCGACACTGATTGTGACACCACCAGTAGATCCGACTGCTCATTTACCGGCTTATCTCATTTTTAACAACAACAAAGCTCTGATGTTATTTATAATGTTACGTGATCCTCAAAACAGGACCAGTTATAAGATTCTGTAAAATTTAAATGATCATTGGCACATACATACACACATACAACGTTTTCTTTTTTTATATAATATATTGTAGTATTTATGCAGTATAAGTATTTGTTTAGTAGTATATATTATATGGTATGTATATGTCTATTTATAAAATATTGTATTAATATATTTATTCTATAGGTATTTATGTCTGTAGTATACATATTACATAACTTTTTTTTTATTATTGTGTTCTGGCTTCGCATCAACCACTTCATTTCTCTGCACTTCCCTATGGTTGACTGTAAGAGAATGCCTTAAGGCATTAAGTCCGCCATTCACTGTATTTTGTGAAGAAGAAATAAATAAATAAATAAATATATACATTGGCTTATAATACAAATCTCTGATTTAGTTTGGGGCTCCTGTCTCTCTCTTATGTATAAATGTTTCACTAAAAAATGTTGGATAATTGTATCTCAGTTGGGAGCAAATAAAATTAATTTCATATCAAATAGTCGTTTTATTTTACATTCATTATTTTTAAATTCCAATCTGTTACTATGCCGAGACCTTGAAATCGTTCATAAGAGATGTGAAAAGCCTTGTAACATATGGGTTTTTTTATCATAATACATTACAACAAAATTTTCCGCAACATGCCGTATCCAAAACGTAAGGAACATGTATTCCCTAGCGTGTATCAATATCAAAGGCAAGCAGGTAGCGTGATAACGGCTGGTTATGTGTACAATTATAATAATAACCTAACATTGCCGCGCCTAATTAAATACGATTCTAGTTTTGACTACGTAGGTTACATCGATATGAGTTTGTCTGGATGGTGCTTTGAATATTATATATTTGTGTGTGATATACTTTCTTCTAAATTTTTGAGATTTTTGCAATGAGTTTATAACACCATAATTATAATTTTAAAATTAAAAGTATATTAGTAATACGAATATATGTATGTTGGCGTTGTTATCTACTGGCGTTGGCGCTCGCATCAGTGTTGCTGCTTGAACTGCGAGCCAACCGCGCCCTCTACCGGACACCACAAGCGTTTGCTTCTAACTCCGGCAGCGGCGCGTTGGACGATATTGAAGCGCACGGTACGTTCACGAGCTTTTCTGGGTATAATCAACCAGCGGTTTTTAGTTAATTTATTATGTCTCACGACATTTTTAAAAATGAGCGAAATTTTGCGACCTCCATTTTATTTTAAATCTGTGTTAGTATATGTAAGAGTAACGTCATCAGTGTATTTAAGAGATCGTAGGGCAGATTGTAAAGGAAATAATTGCGTTTTTATGTTAATTAATTTGTGCTTTTATTTTTACGTTCTATGATTTTATGACTAGTAATTTAATTTGGTTGATAGAGGGCTGTTATGGTGTTGATATGGGGTTGGTACTGAAATAATGATAAAAATATACAATTTTCCACCTTTGTTCTATTAAAATGGGATATAATTATTATGTGGTGATTCAAATCACGGTCAATTAACTGCATAGTGATATGATAACACTTATTTCACAATTTCAAATTAAACAGTTTGATGTGGTTTATTCAATAAAGCGTGAATTACTTTTTTACCGATAAACAGACATATCCGCGAGCTTGTTTATCATCTCAGTGGTCCAAAAAATAAGGACTTTAAAAAACCCTAAGTGGGAGAGCCATGCTTCGGCACGAATGGGCCGGCTCGACCGGAGTGATACCACGGCCTCACAGAAAACAGACGTGAAACAACGCTTACGTTGTGTTTCGTCGTGTGAGTGAGGTTACCGGAGGCCAAAATACCCCCTTTCCCAGTCTCCCCAATCCCTGAAAAAAAACGCTCCAAAACAAGTGACATGAACAAATGTGTCATTCTAGTAGATTTTTTTTATGGGATAAGCCGGTAAACGAGCAAACGGATCACCTGATGGTAAGCAATCGGCGTCGCCCATGGACACCTGGAACACCAGAGGCGTTACAAGTGCGTTACAGGCTTTCTGGATTAAGAATTTGAGGATTGTTGGGGATTCAGGGATTGGGGAAACTAGTAGGTACTGATGGATACCATGTTCTGCTGTGCTTACGATAGTACACTAGCCTACTGTCAAAACACACTGCACTGCGACCGAAGTGAATAGAAAATTAATTCAGAAATAAATTATCAATAAAACATTATAAACAGCTAATCACAAGTTAGATTCCACATTTCAATTATATGCTCCAACGAAACTGCGCAGTTAGAAACATAATTAGTTTAATTTGAGTTTAATTTATTATAATATGAATTAGCTGACCTCTTCCCGTTGGTAATTATGTTAAATTATTAAATAGAAAATTCATGACTTTATTTCCCTTAAGAGATGGGGAAAGATTAAAGGTTAGTTAAGTTTGTTAGTGAATTAAATACAGAAAAAACTAATTTTATGTGTATACGTTATCATTTTTATTGATGGAATATAAGTAAACGCACTCGTTCGATCCGCGCACTAGCGGATCACCTGGTGGTAAGCAATCGCTGTCGCCCATACACATTAGAAACACCATAGGTGTTACAGGTGCGTTACCGACCTTATTTATACCGACCGAGATTGGGGAGATATGTTATTAGGCCTTCGGTAACCTCACTCACGACTAAACATGACGCAAGAAAATGTCATAATCAGAAAATGACACATTTTCTATTTATAATTTTATTCAAAATATCTGTGGTAGCACGGAGTCTGGAAATGTGCCAGGTATATGGCAATTGGCTCACCCCCTATTACATGGGACTCATAAAATAAATAGTGAAAAGTGGGTGTTACTTCTGTGTG